GCGGGGCCCGCGGCGGAGGATGCCGGCGGATACGGGGCGAGGGCTGCACTCACCATCTTGCCGCGGGCCCGGGAGCCGGAGAGGAAAGAGCTCAACGCGCAGCCGCGAGGAGCAGAAACGCGCCGGAAGTGAAGAGGGAGACGCGCCGCGCCGCGCCGCGCCAGACAGAGGAGGGGACGCTCTGTACGCCGGTGCGGCTCTATGGTCACCTGCCAGCTTTTAGGTGCGGTGTGCTCTGCCCCTGCTCCCAAACTTGCTAAGAATTTTTTTTTTCAACTGGTCTAATAAAAGATCCCAAATTTCCCCGCAGAACCTTGCCCATCTGCTCCCAAGAAGGTTCAAGTGCAGATATGGAGAGAGGAGGCCTGGGGTGGTGCTAACATGGCCCCTCTTCCAGCTGTGGTCCTGTGGGGACAGGGGTCAGGCCTCCCCCAGCGCCCGTGGCTGGCAGCAAGGACTCTCACCCCCGCACAGGACTCGCTCGTTGCTGCGATGAAGATTTTTTTGGCTGGTTTTTCAGAGCGGGACGTTGCACCCAATGGCCGAGAGAAGGGGGCTATGGGAACAGAGTTGGAAATCGAGTCTGAAGCAGCATGAGAGCGTGGGGACGCACGTCTGGACAACGGGTCGGCTCCTACCAAAAAACACACGTGCTGGGCTGCAACAGGAATAGGGCAGGGATGTTTAGCAAAGCAGAGGCCAAGCCCAGCGCAAGGAAACTCGCAAATGAATCAACTGAAGCACAGCAGAAAGGCAATTCTGTATACGCAGTAGTGGTCAAACAGCCGGGCCTGAGCCACAAATTGCTCTTTGCACCTACACAGAGCGCCATCACCAGCCTTTGGCAGCGGTTAAGTCTTCTGCGCTGTCGCGACTCATGTAACACCATCGTCGTCCCTACGTGTCCCTTGCGGTAGCGTCACTTCTTCAGTTGGAACGAGTTGACTGCCACGCACCTATGCCCGGGTATGTCACAGCTTTGGCATTGACACTCACTGCTTACAGCGCTCCTGAGCCAGTCAAGACTAGGAGTCGTTGCTGCAGAGAAACAGAGCAGCTTAAATTGCATCCTTGAAGGCATGGATGAAGAGATAAATCATGCCAGTTACCCATCTGGTCTCATGATAATGGATACTGGCTAATGCACTGTTGTCCTAGTGGACAACAATGAAATAACCTATCTTTCGGAGGGTGTCTTCATAGATTTCGTACACATTAGGGCTGGAAGGGACCTTGTGAGATCATCGGGTCCAGCCCATGGGGCAGGAAAGTCAGCTGGGGTCAGATCACCCCAGCAAGATAGGCATCCAAAGATTTGTTGAAGGTATTCAGAGTAGGTGCTTGCACCACGTCTTGTGGGGAGTCTGTTGCAGGCTCTCCTCTGCACTCTCTCAAGCTTCTCCACATCCTTCCTAAATTGTGGAGCCCAGAACTGGATGCAGTGCTCCAGCTTCGGCCTCACCAAGGCCTAGTACAGCAGGAGGATGACTTCTAGGGTCTTGCTCGAGATGCACTGGTAGATGCAAGCCAGGGTTTTGCTTGCCTTGCTGGCTGCAGCATCACACTGGTGGCTCATATTCATCTTGTGGTCACAACCCCCACGTCTCTTTCAGTCGTGGTGCTAGTGAGTGTACCACCGCCGAGCCTATAATGTGGGGTTTTTTCTCCCAAGATGGAGCACCCTGCGTGTCTCTGTGTTGAATGTCATCAGGTCTTGATCCACTCCCCTTGTGAGCCCATCGAGGTCGGCCTGAATCCTCTAGCGTGACCGCACTTCCCCATAGTTTGGTGTCATTTCCAATCTTAACCCTTCTCGATAAAGAGATTAATCCCTTATACCCTGACACACAAGGGACATAAGCCACGTTTGTTTCCACAAGCAGACAAGTTAAAATTCGAGAAGCTAGCATTGCTTTTATAAAGGGTCGATAATTTTATGAACAATGGTATTTATTTGGTTTAGATCCTTAATTAGTTTGGTCTAATTAGATCGAGGAAAAATGAATGACAACCGGTATTGTCAAAGTGACGTTCTCTTTCCCCGCTGCACTGCTGGCAGGCGAAGGATTCAACTGCTGCAAAACTATCTGTCCATGACCCTCTTCCTGAATTACTTTCCCTGGAAGATTTTACGAGTCCCACACAAAGCACCGGGTCTTTCTTTTTACCTTTATGCTGCTTAATTCCATAAACGTGTCCCATGATAATAGGGTTATCTTGAGCCTCCAAACTCACAAAAATGGAATGTATTTGCTGCTCGGGTTAAAACAATCCATCATCCGGAACATACTGTAGAAGGGTATTAATGTGGGGAGATAGCAAAGATCCAAGCAGTAAAACTGATCTCTATCACCACGGCTTTTATTAGATTGGAGATTTACCCACAGAATGCAGATTTCTGGCTTTCTATCCAAAGAGACTATAAAAAGAAAATGGATAGAGTGGTAAGTTAGCTGCTTGGTTTTCTTAAAAAATAAATAGTAGACGGCAAAGTAGCAGAGGACTGGCAATTGTGACTGGCACTTTAAAAGACAAGTCAAAGGATTGCTGTAGCCCAGTGTTCCCTCTACCTGCCCCCCCATTCCCTCCAAGATGTAAAATATGGTAAAAACCTACTTTTCACGTCGTTCTGTATCTGATTTTTCAATGATCATCAGTGTCTATTTACACGCAAATATGCTCATTACTTTCGTGCACATTAAATCGAGAAAGGGCATTTATATACATGCTCCGAGAGTGGGGGGAACAGGGGGAAGAGGGTGCTTTAATTCGGAGCCACTTTAATTGAAGCACCCAAAGCGTCATGTGTATCGGTGTTCCTGCACTGCAAAATGGTGGCCGGGGTGCTTTAATTAAAGCTCATCAAACGAGCTTTAGTTAAAGTGCCCCACTGGACGCTGATATGTGCAACACTGGAGTCTGCTGGAGCATGGTAATTACCACACTCCTGCAGACCCGACTAATCAAGTTGCTCCGACGTGCTGTATTTACAACATGTCGGAGCAGCCTCCCTGCATGTGTATAGGTGCCCAGTCGCCACAGTCCAGAAAGTATCTCGCAAAGAAATAGGAAATGTAAAATTTCTCTGTAACATTCAAAAAGGAGGAGGAAGAAAAAAATGCAAAGCAATAAGCAGTACCCATTATACACATAAAGGGAGGCAAAAGAGCCAAGAAACCCTCTTGGCTGAGCAGTGGAAATCCAGGAGACCCTTCAGAGGAAAAGAGAGGCTTGCAGGCAGTGGAAGCAGGGGGGCAACCTCCAAGGAGTACACCAGCTTGACTTGCACTTGCAGGGAAGCAGTTTCATAGTTGCTCGGGTCGGAAGGGACCTGAGCAGATCATCGAGTCCAACCCCCTGCCATGGCAGGAAAGAGTACTGGGGTCAAACGACCCAGGCAAGGTGTTCATCCAGCCTCCTCTTAAAGACCCCCAGGGTAGGAGCCAGTGAGGAAGGCCAAAGCAAAAACGAAACCCAGGCTGGCAACAAAGACTAAGAATAACAAAAAGTCCTTTATTAAGTACATGGGGAGCAAGAAGGTGCAGGGTAACGTAGATGGACAAGGGCAACTTGTAACAGATAGGCTGGACAAAGCTGAGCTCTCAAACGATTTCTTTGCATCGATGTTCCTGGACACAGATACAAACACACCTCCCAATGAGACGTTAGCCTGGCTTGAGGAGGATACCGATCCACCAGCAGTTAGCGCAGCCCTGGTGAAGGGGCGCTTGGAGGGGTTGGATGTATTGACGGCAGCAGGCCCCGATGATCTTCACCCAAGGGTGCTAAAGGAATTGGCCGGTGTCATCACAAAACCACTGGCACGGCTGTTTGAGCGCTTGCGGTGCTCAGAACAGGTCCTGGAGGACTGGGAAAGGACCGACACGGTCCCTACTTTCAAGAAGGGGAGGAAGGGGACCCGTGTAATTATAGGCCAGTTAGCCTCACCTCTATTCTTGGCAAGACCTTAGAAAAAATCATTAAGGATCACATTTGTGGGGGGTCAGCAGGTAACACAATGCTAAGGGGCAACCAGCATGGGTTTATAGCAGGCAGATCCTGCCTAACCTGGTTTCTTTTTATGACCAGGTCACAAAGTGCTCAGATGCAGGATTTGAGGCAGATGTTATTTACTTGGATTTTAAAAAGGCTTTTGACGTGGTGTCACACCCACTTCTTACAGATAAACTAAGTAGCTGTGACGTGGATTTTTCCACAGTCTGATGGGTGGAAAACTGTCTCATGGGCTGCACCCAGAGACTGGAGATGGATGGGGCAGTTTCTCCCTGGAAAGATGTGGGCAGTGGGGTCCCCAGGGCTCGGTCCTTGGACCAGTGCTGTTCAATGTCTTCATCAGTGACTTGGATGAGGGTGTGGAAAGCACTCTGTCCAATTCACAGACAACACCAAACCATGGGGTGTAGTAAACACACTGGAGGGTAGGGAGCAAATTCAGGCAGATTTGGACAGAGTGGGAGTGTGGGCAGAACAGAATAGGATGCAATTTAACAAAGAGAAGTGCAAGGTGCTGCACCTGGGGACAAGGAATCACCAATACACCTATAGGCTGGGAAGTACCACTCTGAGTACCACGGCAGTGGAAAGGCATCTCGGCGTCATAGTCGATGCAAAAATGAACAAGTCGCTGACGTGACGAGGTAATAAGTAAGGCTAACCGCACGTTATCAGGCATTAGCAGATGCATCACAAACAGGGGTGATACTTCCCCTCTGTGCAGCACTGGTCAGGCTACAGCTGGAGTACTGCGTTCAGTTCTGGGCACCGCACTTCAGGAAGGATGTGGACAACATGGAGAGGATCCAGGAGGCCACCCACATGGTTCAGGGCCTGCAGGTGAGACCCTATGAAGACAGACTGAGGGACCTGAATCTCTTCAGCCTCCGCAAGAGGCCGAGAGGCGATTGTGTGACTGTCTACAAACTCATGGGGGGGTGTCAGCAGGGAATAGGGGATCCTGTTTACCAGGGCACCCCTTGGGGTTACTAGAAACCACGGCCATAAACTGATGGAGAGCAGATTTAGATTAGACATCAGGAAGAAATTCTTTATGGTGAGGGTTGCCAAAACATGGAACGGGCTTCCAAGGGAGGTGGTGCTCTCCCATACCTTGGAGGTGTTCAAGAGGAGATCAGACAGGCACCTGGCTGGGGCCACTTGATGCCAGCGCTCTTTCCGGCCCAGGGCAGGGGGTCAGACTCGATGATCTAATAGGTCCCTTCCGACCCTGGAAATCTATGCAATCTCTCCAAGATGCAACGGGTCAGGTTTTCCAGACTGAAAGGAGCGAATGACAATTCCCAGTTGTATTTCTCTCCAACAGCGGCAGAGCTCTGTGTATCGACATCTGGCCACAGGGTCCATAGCAGATTCTCAACTTTCTCCCGGTAGATTTGGTTTTACCATCCTTTTCCATGGCAAGTTTGGCCTAAGCAGATTCCATCTGTATCCATTCGCGTCCTTTGCATTTCTTCACAGGTGGTCACGTCATTAATGTTAGAAATGCCACCCCTCACCTTTATCTTTCTCTGTCCAGAACACAGCACACCCCTCAGTCCTGTTTCGACAATAATGGTTATTCCACCATGCTGCTGTTATCGAGATATAATAATCCTGCTTTGGGTCCTGCATAGTAATTTGAGCACCTGTTTCGTTGCCCAGGCTTCTTGCTATAATATACAAGCATCTTATTGATCATATTTCAGCCATCTAGAAGCAACGTTTCTTCTTATGGGTTGGGAAAGAAACAAAGACATGTACAGGCAGTTTAAAGCCAACAAGAGACACTGGGCGCATCTCCATGTTCACTAATGTGCCATAAGGATGGCACATTATGTTTAGTACCTGTAATAACAGGTACTAATTTAAAGTGCCATAATCAGTGCTACTGCGCATTAGCACAGGTGAATGCATTTTATGTGACACTTGATACCCACTGGATCAATCTACTGCACATTAGTGCATTAGCATGATTTTTGTCAGCTGTGGTAATGTGCAGTACAATTAGTCCAGTGGGCATTAAGCGTCTCGTGTAGACGTGCCCAACGAGAATCAGGCAAAGTTCACGTTATAAAGTAAAACAGCTTCAATCCTAATTTTAAACTGTTATTTCAAACTCACTACCGAGAAATGTCGGTAGTTAAATATTCTGTCGTATTTACTGGGGTAGTAGTTACTTGTTATTCGTAGAGTTCCATGAGTTCCCTATTATTGGTATAGCATTAACAGTACTATGACTACTAATATTAGCCTATTTGCATTATGACAGCCAGAGATGCCCCAGTCAAAGTCAGGGCCCTTAATGATGCACAACCACATTAAAAGGGTGCCATCCCTGCCCCCAGAAGTGTGTGATCTAAATAGAGGCGAGAAAGGAACTTATCCCAAATTAACCCCATTTGATACGCAAATTGAGACTCAGATTAAGAACCTCCTTCCATCAACAGCTTTCCGGTAGGGTCCTTTCCAAGAGGCTTTGGAGCCCGAAGTGACTTGTCTTCAGGTCACAGGGGGAAACTAAGGCAGAACTAGGAACCAGACCATCTCTCCTGAGCCCTTGAACAGCCTCAGTCTTCAAAAACAAACACACAAGCTTCTTTATACTTCTCAGCCTCTAGCTTTCATCCCTCTTGTGTGTTGTGACTTAATAAGAAGTCTTCTTCAAATAAAACGTGAAGAAGGACACAAACAAGGACTGAAGACTTGCACAGCGTGCAATGGATTGCTGTCTGCCTGCAAACATACAGCTAGTAAAGTCATTTGGTAGCCACGTAGAGCTCCCTCGACATAATGGCTAAAAGCACTTTTTCCTCCAGAAGCAGTTTCTACTACCAGCCTCCCCGCCACAACACACATTTTTTTTTAATATAGAAAGGGTAAAGTGAATTTCAAGTGTTCTCATCCAAGTCTCAGCAACTCTGCAGATAGAAAACTGAGATTGTTATGGGCCACATTAGACAAAGAGCGCACCTGATGTCCTTAATGGGGCCTGGAGATGCATCTGTGTGTAGATAAGATACGCTGAGAGTTTATGAGAGGCAGAATCCTCCAAAGACGCATTTGGCGGATTTCAGAAAAGTGCTCTTTGCAGCTCCTCTCGCTTATGCGGACAAGAGAAGCGGTCGACGAGAAGATGATGTTTGTTCAGGTGGAATCTTTCCATCTTCCCGGCATTGTGAGGGGGCAATACTTCCACATCTTACTGAAAAGACCCCACGTTCAAATAGGTTTGCTGTGGAGGAAAGGGCATGGCTCTGTTCAATGGGATAAATACTGGAGGACAAGAACATTTCCAGACAGCTGAGTACAGTAAAGTAGCTAGACACGTGCAGAGGCTTGGCCAGTCGTCAGAGTCCACTGAAACAGAACCAACATTTGATTCACACACAGAACCGGTTTGGATTTGGGATTTTCTTCCTTCTTTATGTATGGCAGGTGGCAGTAATATCTAAGTAGCACCAGAGCAGATTCACAACATGGAGCCCCGTTGATGTTTTTGCATTGCTGTGAACATAAATGCACACACAGCTAATCCCTGGGCATCTTCTAAAAGGCTGAGAAAACCAGAACAAGAACTGTGGCAGTGACTTGGTACAATAATATTAATAAGAATAATATTAAACCTAAAGGAAAACGTGCGCAACTACTGGGAGCCTGGATGCTTCAGGTGACAGGTAATGAAGTAAAAGCCCTTCACCTCTAGGTTGCAAGTTCAAACTGAGCTTTAGTCAGCAATGATTTAGAGTTTAATCAAAGCAGTTCAGTGTCCTTTGTGAAATGAGTCGAGTCCAGTCCATTCCCTGGAGCCCACAGCACAAAAACCACTCAAAAGGAATGAGGATAGTACTACGCTGTCAGGTTGGTTCGATGCTGCTGTTTCTGAGCTTGTGATTCACCAGCAGAGCATACACAGGGAAGCGGTAGTACAGATGGGACTCGGGTATTCTCCTGGCCACGTCCTCTAAGCCCCAAAGGTCATGTAGGAATAAAAATACCTTTCTATGCCAAAACCTCTGCCATCACCTCTTTACCACCAATGGAGCTGTGGGAATGATGAACTGTAGGCCTTAAAAGTGCCAGCAAAGTGGCACTCCTGTGACAACACAAAATGGAAGCGACTGGTACGTCATATAAGCAAACGTTTAGGGGAAAACACTGTCATGAGAGATAAAGCACTGTAGAAGGTGCATAAGAAAACCACCAGAGAAGTCTGGGCTGCAGCTCTTGCAAATACTTCACATAAATGCTGTGTTTCCACTGCATCATACATTTTATACACTCAAGGCCAAAAGATGAAGCAAAATCCCAATACAAAGAAAATGCCACAAGAAAATACAAAGGCCACAAGAAAATAGACAAGTTCTGAGCCTGGGAAGGTAGAGAGGTGGGAGATACTTTTATTTATTTATTTACTGGGGGGGTTGACAAAGAAGGTCTTAACCTGGAACCTGTTTTCTTCATTTGCTCTCTCTGCTGTAAATAAGAAAACAAGAGCATACAAATGCAGGCATCTGCTTCTATCACTGCCAGAGATGATGCTGAGTCTTACAGAAGGACATCACTCAAAACTAAGCGCAATGGACAGAGACTGCACAGATGCAAATTTAACAAGAAGGTCTGGCAAAGAGGTATAAGCAGAGGCCTGCCCCAGCATCCAGAATTTCTCCTTTCCACGCTCTTCTGCTGTGCTCCAGTTTTCTACCACCTGGAGGCTGCATCTCACCAATGTAGTGGCTCTTACAGACAGGGATACAGCATGCAAAGTTCTACAGGATAACAGTATTTGCTGTTTATTGGGTACTTTGCAGGTTCAAAGCATTTGGCAGCCACTAAGTGATTCATCCCTTGCCATATTCTTGGGTTGTAGAAAAGTGAACGTTATTTGTGAACAAAAATGCTCACGGAAACAGTGTCATTGGCAAAAGGACTTCAAGGCTCCCAACCCACATTCACCCAGCGTTGTCTTTTCATCCTCCAGCATGAAACACGCCACAGAAATGGAAGCCTCTCTTGTGGTTTATTTTTTGCAAACTCGAACACAGTGATTCTTTGGGGGATTTTTAAATCTTCTTTTAATAAAAATGTGTATTTTACTATATGTATGTCTCTTCTTGTAGTTTTACTGTTTACAAAAAAAATCCTCGATACGCTGCTTCTTACATGGGCTTTCTGAGCAGCTGTCTTTTGCACTCTGCCCGGCACATCCAAGATCGGGATTCTGGCATGCAGTGACTGCCTCCATAAGCAAAGCTTCATCAAGGTCATCTCCGTCATCAGAGAAGGCCTTCTGGAAAAGGTCGTAAATGGTCTTCTGCCTTGGGTCCTGCTGGGGAACAAAACCTGAGAGATTTTACACATGAAGAATCTTTAGCAATAATGATGCATATAACACTCTCCTCTCCGCTCTTCCAACTAATGGAGGATCACATCCCAGCACAAGACATACCCATGGCAGAACAGCAGGAACATGGCAGGAATTCAGCCCTGCCTGAATTGGTACCCTCTACAGTTAAGCCTCACACCCTCATTTTCTGGAAGGGGTTGATTTGCACAAGTTTATGGCCTTCTTCAGAGCAAGGCAGAGCTGGGGAAGGGAGTTTTCCCAACAGAAAACCCTAGAAGGATTCCCTTGCAGGGCTTACCACGGAGGATGAGGCAGTTATCCACTCCCCCCAGACCCATGCCTCTACCTCAGAGTAACCCTGCACTTTTGCAAGACATGCCTCAGGCCATGGCTATATCTACAGGGAGGCCTGGTCCTTGGTAGCACTGTCAGGGGTTCCACTGGGCACTGGCTGAGCTACAACTCCTGTGGGAGAGGGGAAATTCAACCAAACAGGTAACATGGCCTTGCATTACCAACACAAGGCCTGGAAGACCTCAGAAGGAGACAGAGCAGTGTTTCCTGAACCCCATCTGCTCTCCTCATGTGGTTCCTGACTGCCAGGAGAAGTCTCCATAGGTGGGATGAGGAAAGAGTAGTGCTGCAGGAGCACTGAAGTCTCCTTCCACACAAGGCTAGGGCTGTCTTGTGGACAGGCCGCTCCAGGCACGTGGCAAGGAGGAAGGTGTGGGACCTAACTTGTGGCAGAACCTCCTCCTCCTCCACCAGCAAACGACATGCCAAAGCCAAAGTCGATTCTACCTCTCCTGGAAATGGCTTGGCTGGCACACTTTCCCAGTGGTTACCTTGATGAAATAGTCGGTGGCTTCAGCCGTTTCACAAAAATTGGCTTCAGAAAGACCAGCTGCACCCAGTACTTTTATTTTCTCTTGAATCATAGGCCTGTGGGGAGGCAGCACAGAGCAAATGTTAAAAGACAGAAACATATTAGCATGCAAGATGCCACAGTCTTCTCTCTCCTGGCAAAGATGCGTTAAATCAGCTACAATGCACAGTTAAAAAATAAAAAGTGTTGGGAGTATTTAAACATACCAGCCCTTTCAGCTGAGGCAGCAGAGCCAGTTCTAGTGACCCAGCAGTGTCGGGGTCTGTATGCAGCCTTCTGAGCATGTATGCATCCCTGGTGTGTTGTGTTAAACTTGAGTCACTTCAGTACCACGGAGACAGTAACAAGCAGAAGGGAGACCAAAAAACGGCAAACAAAGGGCTAGGAGGCTGAAGGTGAGGCACCGGCAAAGTCTCACCTGGAGTACCGAGTCCTGTTTTGGGCCTCACGCTCCAAAAAAAACGAGGAAAGATTGGAAAGAATCCACCAGAAAACAACAACAAAGTACTAGCGGCATGGGATGCAAGACTTATGAGGAAAGGCTGAAAGAACTAGGATTACATAATCTGGAAAAGAGCAGAAGGCGGATTTGATAACAGTCTTGAAATACCTGGAGAGCAATTATAAACAGGATGGAGACCTACTTTTTTTCTGTGGCTATAAGGGACAGGACGAGGAGCATTGGCCTCAAGCTGCAGCAGAGGTTACATTTAGGTTGGAGTCTAGGAAGAACTTCCTGACCATGACAGTGGTCAAACATTGGAAGAGGCTGCCTAGAGAAGTGGTGGATTGCCCGTCCTTGGAAATTTTCAAGAGCAGGCTGGCCAGCCATTTGGCTGGACTAGTGCAGTCAGGAGTGTTCCTACCTTGACCAGGGAGCTGGACTAGATGACCTCATGAGGTCCCCTCCAGCCCTACTTGTCTATGATGCTAAATGACCAAAAAGAGGAGGTGGTGATGGCAAGCTACCGATAGCTTGTAGGTGCCTGCTGCCAGGAGGAAAACTGGTTGTATAGGGCAGGACACAGGGTTTAAATGAGGTGTAAAAGGATACAGTTAAAAGGAAAAACTTAGGCAGAATAGGAGGAAAATCTCCTGACACCAGGACCTGTTAAGCTATGGAATCATTTGCTGAAGGAAGTGGTGAGAGCCCTGCTCTTTCTGTACAAGTGCATCTCTTGGTGCAACCCGTGTTGACCACCAAAGGGAGACCGTGACCACATAGGTCCCAGCCTCACCTCCAAGTTCTAGAAATCTGCAGCACGAGATGAGAAATTATAAACAAGTGAAAGCCACCACACTGCAACTATTGCATCCGGGATGGGGTGGGGTAGGAAGGAGGAGGGGAAAAATGCATCTGTTTTCTCTTGAGAAGCCCATTTCCTTCCTTCCAAGCACTAACAACTGCATGGAAGGCTCTTTGCAAATAAAAGGCAAAACGACTGTCATTAACTTTCCTTGAAATGTGGGCGATACATTGGCCTCCAGCTCCTCGCGTTGCAGGGCTATAATTATTTGCAATCATGATATTCTGGGAACTGCACAAGTTTGCTTCAGCTCATTTGCTCTCTCGGATGAGGTAATGGAAATATATAATTTCGGACGTTAAAAGGACCATCTGGTGGCTAATTTCCTCTTGTCGACTGCAGGTCCATTCCCTGGCAGCACAAAGGATTTCCAAGATTCCCACAATTACATTACAGCTCCCTTGTCTTCCTCTGCAGCTTTCACTCCAGACAGAGAGGCCTGGCCCAAGTCCCCAGGGGGTCTGCCAGTGGCATTTCTTGGGCTGGCCACAGGGGCTTACTGCAGAGCAGCATGAAAGGATGCAGACTCCCTCTGCAACACCATGCCCTGAGAACTCAGGATCCCAAATGCTCCAAGTCATATGTGAGGTGCTGAGCACTTCAGTTCCCATAGAGCTCCTCTCTCAGGAAGCACTCAGCACCTAACAGGGTCCATCACCTGTGCTGTCCCCATGAAGCAAACAAAATCCCTCTCCCTACTCCAAGCCTATGACTATTTTAGATCTCTTAGGCCCTCTCTAACTAAGTACCTACTTTTCATTTGACAAAGATGCTTATTTACCCTTTTATCACCCAGCTGCACCCACACGCAAGGTCATTAGTTAGACTCCAGCCTTCCAAAGACTCATCCCAAAACACCTTACCACTATAGCTGATCACAGAACAACCCCACAACCCACACTGCATGGATGGGGGAGCCAGCTTGGGAGTTAAGGACTTTGTCACACAAGTTACAGACTTAAACGGCAACAACAAAACAGGTAGAGAACCAGAAGGAGCTATTCCACCTACCATAAGAAGTCGTCTGCTGTGCCTTTCGCCACCAGGTAGTGAATGCTAACAGAACTGGTCTGTCCAATGCGATGCACCCGATCTTCTGCCTGGATCAGGACCTTTGAGAGAGACACGAAGCACAAACATCACTCTAGCACTCAATTACTCCTGACTATGCATACCCTGCTAGCACGTAGATTCCCATCAGGTTTCCACTCCAACAAATACTGTACAAAACTACTGTAAGGGCCAATCCCTGCCCCAAAGAGTCTGTAGCCTAAACAAGCAAGACTGAAAACGTTGTGAGAAAAGGATGATTATGATGTCCCTTTTATAGATGAGGAACAGAGGCACAAAGAGAGTAACGTCCAGAGTTTTAAAGGCATGCAGTTGTCTGTCTCTCACTGAAATCGGTCCGTCTAATGTGCTTAACTACCTCTGAGTTCTGGGTCTGAGGCTGGGACAGATGTAACAGTTATACCAGTATTAAATTATACTGGTACAAAATGTTCACACAGCTGTTACATCTGTCTGCTCCCCTTGCACTGTGAGTGAAGTGAAACTGTTATAACTTTAGCCCTGTTTCATTCAGAGACTTAGCTCCCTTATACTGCTCTACGAGTGGACAGATGCAACGGTTAAACCAAACCAACCTGTGTGTGCACCTGAGAGGCAAGTCCCCCTCATCTATTAAATTGGTTTAAAGTGACATCTGCCCACATGCCCACATTAACACAGGATGTTTGAGAGATGGCAGGAAACTGCATCCAAATTCAAGTCCAGGCTACACTTCATTCCTCATCCTTTCCCCTGAATTACTGGAAAGAGCCTGCTGTTAGAATTCCCCAGAGCAGAGGTTCTCAAACTGCAGTCTGCGGACCCAGGTGTCCGCAGAAAGGTTGCGGAATAATCGAGAATACCTGTACTTGTAAGGTAGGACTACTCGTATTAAAATATGAGTTGCATGCTTTGATTTGTGGAACAAAAAAAAAGTTTATTAACTTTTTATTTTAAACTTTTTATTAAAGTTTATTAACAGTGGTCTGCCGGGGCCCTCAGCAATTTTCAAGTGGTCCATGAAAAAAAGAGTTTGAGAACCACTGCCCTAGAGAAAACTTATCTGCCAAAACATTCCCTTCCCTGCATCAGCACAAACAGGTGTGCACGTGTGGAAGACCTGCAACGAACAGCAATCAGTGCAAATATTTAGACAGCCATTCAGAAAGGGTATGATCTGTGAATTCCAGTCCTGAGATTAACATCATCAGTATATTCATATTAATAATATTAACATTATAACTAATATTAACTAATAACTAATATGGCATCTTATGTTTACAGCAGTGGTTCTCAACCTTTTTAGACTCAAGGTTGCCCCTCAGAAAACACCACCTCTTAGCTTTCACTTGGTTTTTGACAACAAAAATATAACAGAGCAATTTTCTTGTTGCACAGAACTCAGCACAACAACAAGACAAAATGTTAGCGGCACAGTGGGTTCCTACTAGAAATCTCTGGGTTCATCTTGGGACTTGTGTAGGTGTTTGCTCATTTAACAGTGCTCTGTGCAGCACCCCACAGCACCCTTAAAAGGATCTCAGCACCCCAGCGTGCTGTGGCACCCTTGCTGAGAATCCCTGTTTGGACAGCATCATCATTTACCAACCACTGAAATGCAGCTGCTTACGTGTCATGTGGATTAGCTGCTTTAAACGTGCGTGTCAGTGCAGATGTAAAGGGAAAGTGGGAGGCACTGGGGTTTAGGGGGACAGATCACTGGACTGTAACACAGGACATCCCATTTCTACTTCTGTCCCTGCCAGTGGCCCAACCAATGACCCTGGGCACGTCATTTCTCCACGCCTCTGTTTCTCCCTCTGGATAAATGGGGGATGATTGCAATTCTACAGTAAAGGGGGCTGAAATCCACTGGTGAAATCTGTGATATCAAGGATAGGAATTATTCTTCCCCTGAAACTGCTGGTGAAAGCTAGGCAAGCAGGACTCTGACCATGTCTGCAGGGTTAATGACTCTCCCCTCCAAAATCAGTAGAAATCCAATTGCTGCTCTGAGTCAGGGCCTCTGCTTTACATTTCAGCTAACAGAGCAACTACACTGCTCCTCGCCAGTGCACTGGTGAGGTGCTGACACTGAGACTGCCTGCCCCCTGACGAGTCGCCAGTCCCACTTCACGTGGTCCCTGACTTCCCAGGAGGGTCTCCCACCTGAGTCCTAGCCAAGACTGCCCATGCCCATAACCTCTTTAGGAACATAGTCCCACCTCCCCTCTTCATAGCTCAGACTCTCTGAAAGTGCGAAGAGACATTGCCTTTGTGCCGCCATAACAATTTTGATGGTGGCACAAAGGGAAAGCAAACAGATGTCCATACCATTCATCACACCATAAATGCCCAACTTTGTGGCAGCGACAAAAAGCGATTGCTGTTTATGCTGCTCTATTGCAGCAGACGTCTATTAATGTTAGTTTTGTGGTGGGACAGCAGTCAGCCCGGAGCTACTTACGCTGTCTGGCTGCCCTTGGAGGTGCTTCCCGGCCTTGAGTGGCCCAATCCTGTGCCTCCCAGGAATTCCTGTGCAGGATCGGGCCCCTCAAGTCCTGGGAGCGCTTGCCCAGTTTTTGCCTCTTGTAGGGACACATCCCAGGGTGCGTCCGTAAGCACAGCAACCCTGGCTTTCTCTGCTTACACAGATGTGCCCCAGGGAATCCCCAGACACACCTCTGCAACCAGGGACACCTCACCCATCGTCTCCCACAGGATTGGGCCCCTACGGGACAACATCCTACCACAGCTAATCCACTTCACATGACGACATGGGGTTATGCCTGAGCCCACCCTGCAGCTAGGCCTAAAGCAGATTCAGATGGGCCCATTTAAAATGCAACACTTTCATATAATCATAG